CCGGTCTCGAGATGAAAAATCGGTACAGAGGCCCAGCGCACACACAGACACACACACATACACACAAACACACCCACAGACACACACACAGACTACCTTTCATCAATATGCGTTTTTCGCGTTACATTGCTGCAAAAAACGCATAAAAATGGTTTGGTAGAAAAATGAATATGTCAACAAACCGAACTGTTCGTTGAAAAAATGTACTTCTTACGGCTTACCTTTGTACCTTTGGTTAGTGAATACTTGTCCTGAATTTCATGTGGCACCTGTTCATAATTTTCCCATTCTATGAAACTCACGTTCTGAAAATAATTATTGAGCACTATGTCCACAAAATTTGGGCATTCAGCTCTCATAAATTCACAACAAATATGTGTGATTAAATAGAAGGAGAAGCAATTAGCATGTTTTTCCAACACGCTGAAAATCCACATAGCCTACTTTAGATGAGATTTATCTAGAACGCTACAGCAATTCGACTAAGCAAATTTCATTCTTCTGAGGAACAATTTCTTTTCGTTCCAGAAAACGAGATCCAACTTACTTTTTGAAGAGCTCGCTGGAAGCTCGGATAATCAACTTCTATGGCCGGATCAAAAATCAGGATAAGGTGCATGTTTTGCTTGTGTAGCTCATCTGCATAACTTTTGAAATCTCTCCAGTATTTCTTAAATAAAATACTGCTATATGATCCTTCACGTGAACTGTATGAAAACGCTATACAGTTCGTAGGAATGCGGTGATTTTTTTTTTTTTTTTTGAAATCATCGATTATTGTGCACACAACTGTTTACGTGTATCGTTATTCGACACAAAGTCACTGTTACTGTACCATTTTAAAACAGTACCATTTACTTACTACTAACGTAATTTGGGCGTGTAACAAAACATACGTTTCTACAACGTCGCTTGATTAATTCCAACAAATTGAAAAAATCATTGTGCATTCGTTACAGTGATGAATGTGGCAAAATTTCCAATTAAAGTGACTATCAGCCAAATACTTAATCAGTTTGAATGTCAGCCTGGGAATTAAGCTATCCTTTCATAATTTAACATGCCTCGAGAGGCGAAGGCTATTGGAAGCATCTAATTTGTTCTTAACAAAGTTGCTAACAGCAATTTTGCATTTGGCAAAGTTGTCAATGGCTCTCTCTGTTCAAAAAGCTGTACAGAAACGACCTAAAGGCATATTTGATTTAACAGCATCTGCCAGTACCAAGTTTTCCAACAGAAACAAGCAGCTAATTTTAAGAAAATTGATATATTTATCGCTGCAGTTAAACTAAAATCTTGAGTGCAAGAGACACGGCCATAACTCATTAGAACAAGCTAGTCGGTCATGGGGAACAAGGTCTAAAAATCAAACTTGTTGATTTCCGTCCGTTTTAAAGATACAGCTGATCTTATTTCTGGAATTAAAGTTTGTGTTTCAGAAGAATAAGGGACCTTTAATTTAATTCGCTGCTTAGTAATGAAAGCTAAAATTTTACCTAGGCTGAAACGCACCGGGCTTGCCGGTACGATCATGCATTTTTGCACTAAACTCACAGACTGCTAATAGCAGGAATGATCCCTGCGCTGTGTCCTAACACTCGGGCTCATATTGGCCGTGTTTTGGTCTCTTCCAGCATGCAGAAGAAGGGGCGTGGTTGGGATGAAGGTGTCGTATTACAGGGCCGCATGGACCTCCAGGTACATGATTACCAGTTTTTTGCATAAAGCCCGGCCGTTTTTCCGGTAACTGCTCACTTTTTGAAAAAGTGAAATATGCAAGTATGGAAGAAATGAGATTTTTACGTGGTGATCAATCGTCTCAATATGAATCCAAAGGTATAATTGGTCTTCTTTCATGTGATTTCCTCGCTCAATTGATTTCAGCTACCAAATCCAGCTATCTGGACAAATTTCATTTTGGGCTCTTGCGGTTCACATCGCGCCATGCTTAGGGGCTATGCTTCTCATGATTATGCTTATTTTCGTAATAATCAGTAGTGTATTATTAGTAATATTTGATTCTTAAAATAACTGATTCATACACTTCATAGAGTCTTTTCTGCGTGCCATCAGCTTTCGATCTATCAAGTCACTGAAGTCGACATCGACAACTGACGCACCAAAAACTGGTGTTCAAGGACCAGCAAGCCACAGATTTCAGCCACTGGGATTCTAAGCGATCTCTCTACACGATCGCACCGGCCCGCCTGGTGTGTGTCGCCAAAGATTGAAGTTAAAAAGTTAGTAATGAACTTTGAACTGCGACCTCGCTGATAGTAAAATCTTTGTATCGTTCCATGTAATCGATATCCGCATAGGCAACATCGATTGGTATTTTAGCATTTCGAATTCTCTCAATTGTTTCCTTCATTTCCAACAAATTTTTGTACCCATATCGACAAAACTGAAAAAAAATTCATTTTTATAGTTTACCTGACCCCAAAATCCTCCTTGAGCTCGCTCTCTTTGAGAGGTGGTGATATCACGAAGAAACTCAAGGATTGCATATGCCAATAGCAACTACCAGCTGAACTGGAATTCGACTTTCTTTTTCGAATGATTGTTCAGAAGAAAGCTGAAGGCAAGTCTAAGACTCTGGCAGATGCCAACATTCAACACATCGCCGAAACGAATAATTGGGTCCTAGAGGGTTTGACTGTTCCTATGGCAGGTTCAAACTCTTGGCCAGCTGCATGACAACAGCACTGCTACCATTGCACCATCCTTCCTTCTCTATAGCTTTTCGTAAATGAGTAATTTAAAATTACCAAACATCATTACGAAATATAATTACTCCAAAAAATTTAAAACCAAAAAATTTAGCAGAGATTTTCATTTAAATAGATTACCTGGAATCCAAGTGCGAAATAAGCAGGAAGGGATGGTAAACCAATGTAACTGTGGTACTGCTGGATGACTTCTTCTGGTGTTGGTCCCGCGAAAAATGTTATGTCAAGCATTCCTCCTATGGTACGATATATAAGATGCGGTCCGGGCCCTGTCGTTATTTCCTGAATTTTGAAAATCATAAATTGATCTACCTCAAATGAAATCCAGATAGCGACGTATCAGGTTTGCTGGTTTGATCATGTTTTTTTGTATGATTCCGTCCTGTAGAGAGATCGCCAGTGTGTGAGGGTGTTGCACTTTTAAAATATGATGCGCCTCTAAGAAAGGCCCATGCTTAGGCAGAAACTTATTTCACGTTTAGCGGCTCGCACATTAATAACAAACATCTTCAGAAAAATACTGCTTCCTGCTCGGCCTGGTTAACAAGCTTTTTCCTGTATGTAGGAAAAAGTCAAAACACAGCCATCATGTGTTAAACCACAACGGATGGGCCTGATTGCTGCCAGTTTAGCGTAAAAACGCAAGATCGCACCGTCAAGCCTAGCCCTTTGCGGCCTGGATTGTATTTGTATAAAGATGTAAAAACACATAACAAACTCCAAAAAAAACTAAATTTCCGTGGAAAAACCTGACTCACCACTAATAAAGAGCGTTGCACACGACAGCAAAGTGATCGCAGGAACAGCAATGGCACATGGACGACCAACAAGAGGTGCTGTAGAAGAAACGAAGGTGGTGGCCAACAGTAACAAGAAAATCCAGGGGAATTCGCGCTTTACTGGCAGCTGATAAAAGACGCGCATCAGCAAGTGTTACTTGCTAGGAAATAAATGAAAACGCTAAAAGAACTTTCAAGAATGGGTATTCGTATGCTGCAGAAGAGGCGAGTGCAAACTGAATCAAGGAAGCTCAGAACAAGACAGCTTGAGGAGCTTGGTATTTGACTGTATGCGGGTAATACTTTGGGGATAAATCGAACGATCGTGATGATTTATCAAAAATTAATTTGATCACGTGCATTTTCAGGATGAATCTGACTGAATGTACCTGTGGATTGCTGTTCCAAATGAGTACACCATGAGCCTTATTATCTCCTTCTAAGCCGAGGTAAAACGGATGCACACCATATAAATTTCGCTGCTTGTTGGCGGGATCAGGTGGCTGATCTCTTGCTAGCATCGACCATGTGGTATAGTTGAAAAATTCATGCTAAATTTGACCAATTTAAATTGAATGGTGAAGGTTTTGCTGAATGTTGAAACTGAAGCTTTAAAAATTCTTTCCAAAGAATAAGATTTTCGCATTATCTTCTATTTTACCTTCAAGCTGAGATGAACATTTTCACCAAATCCATAAATTTTATCGGTTGGCAGAAATGTTGCAATTTGAATATACTGATCCGCAAATAGCAAACCACCTGCAATGCCAGGTACCGCTTTTTTCCAGACTGATTTCATTTTTCAGAAAGGTTTTTAAAATACATGAGAAAATTTTTCAAGAAAACTCGCATCACTGGATTTTCGAATGTTGTAAGTTTACCGATGGATGTATCCCAAATACGTTTTCTTGTCTTAGCACGATGTATCCGAAGTACGAAAAGTTCGGATTCATATGACGTTTCCACCGTAAAATACTGTTGTTTTGCGCGAATGGATGCTCTTGGTAGCGGTATTGTTGGTTCGTATCTAGCAAATTACAGGTTTATATCTAGCAAATGGTTTTGGCAAACCAAAATCAGATTCTTTCACTAATAAAAGGAGGAAAACAATCGGCAGAAGCACTGTGAGGAAAACTTGTTTTGCCGATAGCATTTCTGATTCTATTCTCTGACAAAGGCCTGGAAAGCGATTATTTTTGTCCGGTAAACTGGCCATCAGGCGGCGCAGTATTGATCGAAACGGCTAGAGAAGTTGCCTGGTACAGGGCTGAAGAATCGTCCCCTCCCGTCTCCCTTTAGAAACTGCGGTTGCTCAGAGTACCAAAATATGAAAAAATTCATCACTACTCTTAACATCAAAAAAAAATTATGGCTACAATCAGCTTATGAAAAAAGAGTGGAAGAGAGATGGTGGCAGCAGTATAAAAATGTGAAAGACATCCAAATTTTGCGGCGCTTGAGAATTCATGATGCCTGTTTCAAAAAAGCGCCATCTTGTTCAGCATTTTAATGCTACTGTTTGTTCGTCAAGATATTTTTAGCTTTTCTCGGAAAACGTACCTTTTAGCGCTAATTAAGAACTAAATTGAAGTCAAGAAATTCGATTTCAAAATTTCAGCTTTTTGGGTTCCGCAGTTCTTAGGTTATTCGACATACAGACTCATACACTCAGACACACACACACAACAGATGCAAAGAGACAGAAATAACCTCGGGCACACTCCGCTTTTGTTGTCCTAGTGAAGCAGTCAAGAATAACAAAGCCTACCTGCCTTCGGTCCCAATTCGCACATTGAGCACTGTGTCGGAATTTGAAATTTGTACGTTAATCGGTGATAAGTCCGTACCATATGGATTCAAGGCTCCAGTTCTTGTTTTGACCAATTTTAAAAACGAAATGGATTTTTTAGCAACTTTATAACCCGTATCAGGTGGAAAGTAACACGCCGGAACAGTGGGATCCTAAAAAAAGATTTTCTGCAACTTCCGGAAAGCCCCCGAAATATGATGCTAAATGTAGGAAGGAGTGATGCTTTGTTCGATGCCTTCACAGTGCTAGCAAAATAGTCCATTCAGTTGAAAATTTTTCATAGTTGCTGTAAACGAAACTGCATCACCGGTAATCGAACTACCACTGCTGGTCTTATCAGTGTTCGTTTTGCAGCAGACACTGAGCTCAGCTGAATTCCAAAAAAATACAGGCAGCGAAGTAAAGGAAGTAATTTTTATCGGTTTCTCCCTAAGGGCTGGTGGGCATTTCATAATGGAAATAACAATAATGTGGTGCAAAAGGCTGGGAGTCAATTACGCCAATAACACAGCCAGTCCCTCAACGATTTGTTCATTCGCTTCGATGGCAAATTTGGTACTGGCAAATATGTCATTGAATCATGCTCGCAGCGATCCATGAAATCCATAGTTTTGCCGGGGGACGCTGTCCTTGACACTTAAATTTTTTATGCGTTTTTGCAGCTATGCAATGCAGAAAACGCATATTGACGAGGGGTTGTTTCTGTGTGTGTGTGTGTGTCTGTGTGCGTCTGTATGTTTGTCTGTACCGATTTTTCATCTCGAGAACTACAAAAGCTACGGAGCTGAAATTTCGGAAACTTAATCTACATGCATGTACGGTCCCTCATCCCCAAAATGGGCGCTCTTACGCGCGTGGTAACCACGTACGATCCCGCCAAAGTTGCTGCTAACTCAAGAACCAGAAAAGCTGGGAGGCTGAAATTCTAAGGGGACGTTCCCCGTCCAAGTAGGTATTAGTGAGCTCAAACTCGGCCCCGGGTAAACAAGGTACCCGCGTACGAGCCCGTCAAAATTTTTTTATGGGTAAGCTGCTAACTCGCGAACCAGAAAAGCTAGAAAGCTGAAATTTTAAGAGGATGTTTCCCGTTCACAATAGTCTCAAGAGCTCAAACCCAGCCCTCGTTCATGCGTGGTACCTACGCACGGGTTCACCAAAGTTCTCCTCGGGTAAGTTCATAACTCGAGAACC